ATATATAAATTCTGAACGGAGCAGATGGACCAGGGACCACTTTTAACCACCACACAAGTTGACTCCAAGAACTTACCACAAGGGGGCGCCCCGCCCTCATTCACCCATTCACCTCAGTTAAAAGGAGTTTTACTTTTATACCTTAAGGGTTGTGAAGTGGGGCACAATTCATAACCCACTTCCCATTCTCTTTCTGTTTCAATTCCAAGCCCTCTTTCATATTGAAAAGTTTCAGGTCAATGTAAAAGTGTCTACAAGTGTTGGTCACTTCAATTCCAAGTCTAAAATCCAAAATGCCCCAAAGAAGCTACTGCATTATTACAAAGACGCACACTCAGTGGCAAGTAGGAATTATATTTTCTTTCCTGGGACAGTGAAAGAAAGGATTGATTTTAATGAAAGCTCACATAAGGCTGAAGCTTCAATCAACAATGATGTTGAACTCAATTAGTGCACATGGTCAGAACATAAACAGAAATATATTCCAGAACTATGGATCCTCTAGGCCTATATTAGAGTTTCAGATAAAGCTCAGAAAGTTCATTTGCTCTTTTGCTTCTTTTCATGTCAGTTGATGAATAATCAAAGTGGTAAAGCAATTGTGATCGTGTCATGGCAAAGGGCTCCATACATAATGGTGACATCTGGGCCTTTGGGGCTGGAAATTCCTGTCCAGACCCTGGCACCTCTAAGGCTGATGTGTGATGAGGCTGGGCCACACTTAAATGGACATCCTTGGGTAGGATGAGTAAGATGAGTAATACATGCTTTATATAGATAATCTTCCCTCCACCTGAGAGAATCAATACCTTTGAGGAGACACAAGAACAGTGACAATACACATCAACAACCAGCTCTGTAGCAGATAGGCCTGCCAGCAATTTCTGTGGGCTGAAGGAGGCAAAGCAATCATTTCACAGTTAGGTCTGGCATGCCCTGTGGGGTGAGGCACCAGGACAGACACTTTGTAGATGGCAGAACCGTGCTCTGAGTCATCAGCAGAAAGAAGAACATGTGGCAGAGAACCTCAGAGGAGGGAGGAAAGTGAGAAGTGAAAATATGAGTCAGGCAATCTGGAGGCACCAGATGTGGCCCAAGGGAGATGTGATGAGGCTCAGCGCAGAGTGTCACACCCTAGCAGTAACAGAACTTGGACACGTGTTTTGTTGAGTTTCCTTGACAGCTTGTCATTTACTGGTTCAAACCTAGTAAACATCTGGGAAGCAAGACCCCTTCCCAACCTAATCTGGGACCAGCTGGAGTCATTTCTTGTAACTTTGCAAAAGACAAGATGTTTAAAGATAGCAACAAAGCAAATACAGACATTTGAAAAAACTCTCCAGTTGATTGAAACAGGCAAGCAGGATGGAAGAACTTACCCTGGCTGCTGTAAGCTAATCCTTCATTAGCAGAGTGAGCTGAATCAGGACTTAAGAGGGCCAGAAATCAAGGAGCAGGACACAGATGGGGAAAGGAAATTGCTTAAAAGTCTAGTACGAAAGTACAAGTGAAGTCTGGGGAGATAGCTGGGCAGTCTAAGCGACTGCCTGGCAAGAGCAAGTACCCAGGTTAGATCCCCAGTACCACATGCTGTGCCAGTCCTGGAACTCTAGCATGTGGTGCTGGCCACCAAAACTGGGCATGGTAGTGTATGCCTGTAGTCCCAATGCTGGGGGTGCTGAGACAGGAATCACCACGAGTCAGAACTGTGTGGTGAGACCTTGTACCAAATGAATAAAAAAATACAAATTTAAAAGCAAAGAAAATATAAGTGAAGAGACAGTAGCAAGTAATCATTTTAGACATTAGTGTAGTTTGGTTCTAGACTGTCACTCATAAGCCCTAGTGCTAAAATTCTTGGTCCCCAGTTTGGTGCTATCAGGAGATGGTGGAGCCATTTAGGTCATGGGGAGCTTTCCTGCAAAGGCACTGTGGGTGTCTCATGTCCTCCAGTACAGTTCTGGTTGCTTTCTGGACATGAGGTAAGGAGTTTTGCTTCTCAACAAGTGTCCCTTCCCCACTCCTCATTCACCCACTTCCCACCAGAGATGGAAAAGCAATGAGCCTCACTACTCATGGTGAGCAACTTCCAAAACTGTGAACCAAAATAACCCTTTTTTTCATAATCTTTGATTATCTCAGGTGCTTGTTACAGTGATGGAAAGCTAACCAGATATAATTTCTTAGTCTTCAGAAAGTAAATCCAAAGAAAATCCGTCCTTTGCAGCATCTTGCTAAAGAGGACTGTCAATGCATTCATGTTTTCAGAAATGAAGCAAGGCTTGCCTCATGAGCAGCCCTATTCTTTTTCCACACCTCAGTGTCTCATGTCTCAACACCAGCTGTGCAAGTGTGGATGCGTCTGTACCGCCCCGCAGGCCAGCCTGTGTATCGGCATCATTTCACACTCTTACATTTGAATTTCACTGTGAAATGTATTTCTGACATTTCTCACCAGCCAGCCTCTTTTCCACCCCACCCCACTTTTCCAAACTACTCATTTGGGAAGATAATAATTATGATAGGTCAATCGGTTTTTACTAAGTACAGACCTATTGACAACAAAGAAAAGGCACCATTGATTTAAAAAACAACTTTTTGTATTAATCCTCCTATAACCTTTGAGGGCTCATTATGATATAATGGTTGACAACAACGAAAAAAAAAGATTATTTTTGTAAGGAAATTGGTGTCTAGTTCACAAGACAAGGTGTCTTTAAATGCACGATTAGCTTCAGACTCAACGCTCAACCAGCCAAGAAGCATCTCTTTCCTTCGAAAAGTGCAGACTTTGGTCTCTTCCTTCTACCTGCAACCTTCCCAGGACATATTTTGAAGTCTTGCCTGCTTTGCTGAATATCTACACCACGACAGGGGTGGCTCTTCTGGCACAATATTCATCTGAGCAATTTTTTTTTAAGCAAATGGAGCAACACAGTAAGCTGTACTTGATTTTCCATAAAAATAAATGGGTATAAGGCAGCCAAGTAATGTTTCCTAATTTCACAGTGCATGAAACAAGTCTACTGAGTCAGGGCACATGCTTTTCAGATGCTTGAAGGGAGCATATCAATAATAGCAGAAAGGTAACTATTCATTGGCTTAATTGCTATATCCACCAGAAGGAAAAAAAAGTGCTTGACATCTCCAGCTGGATGCCCATTGTCTAAATTGAGCTTAGCTCTTCAGGTTTTTGCTTGCATTTAAATATTTTACATTAGAATGTAAAGAGTGAAACTTCATCATCATGTTAATCCTATTTCCCATGTCTTCTCTAGGCATAGAGGTGGTGACATGAACCTATTTGGTAGTATTTCATAGGTTTCACTAATAATCAAGAGAAACAAACTTTCACCACAGAATTAAAATATTTAATGACAAAAATTAAAGTTTACTGTAGTAGTGAATCAACAGAGTAGTTGTTACTGGTCTCTGAATAAACAATTGTTTGACATCTTAGAGAACTTCTGAAGAATTGATAACTGTACAACAGACACTAGCAGTGTTACAATTCTGAACATTACAGGTGAAACCTATCTTTAATATCCCTCATTCAGGGCATTCTTAAAATACTCTTACATAAATGTACAATCTCTCCTATCCACAAATGTACTAGGACAGATTTCACTATAATTTTAAGTCTAACACATAATCCTAATTTTTGCAGAGCTTAAAAAATGTTAACTACTGATCTTGTTAAATTTTACAGATACATTCTTTAAAATGAAACATTAACCTGAATAACTGCATACTTCCTGTACACAGATACCTAATAATACTATTGAAGAATACTACAGCTATTTTCCAGGGAGAAGTAGCACTACAAAGATTCTTTTCTTTACTGTAGCAATACGATTTGAGAACTTCTTCACAAAAATTCCATAGTGAAGTGCAGAAATAAAACAGAAAAATTCAACACTGTCTAGCAAGCTCCACCAAATGTGTTGGTCCCAAATAAGATGAGTCATTTTAGCATTTTTTTTTCTCTAGGTCAGATCATATTAATAGTTATATCACAGCACCTTCTACAAAAGGATAGCAAGGAGCTTATCACAGGGATCCTCTGCAAGGGGCTGGAAGGTAGAAGAGGGTTATACATTGATACTATAGCCTCTGTTCAGAGGCCAAGGAGTACTTTGACACAGGGAGCCCAGGGATACGAAAACTGACTGGAACTAATTAGCAGAGGACACTAATAAAGATTTAGATATGCTTTCTTCTAATTCAGGCTCTGTATGTCCAGTAAGGTTTAGATCTAAAAAGATAAGCAGAGTGAGGAAAGAGGGTAAGATATGGAACACTTACCTTTATGACAAGTACATATTAGGATTCTACCAGGGAGGAAGAATCTCAGATTTCACAGTATGCTTAGGGCCTCATCTTCTGCTACCCAAACACTGTTTTTAGATAGTTGGCATCCAATTTTATTCTTGAGTTTGTCCAACAGTCGAGTGGTTATAGATTTATTCTTTCAATTATTTATACTGCATGTCTATCTCAGGAACCAGAATCTAATTTGAGAAGATGAGTATCTGTAGCTGTGTGTGTGCATCTGTGGGTTTTCAGAATTCAAGTCTGCCATCAAAACCTATTTGGATTGATATTTGGGAGTTTTCTTAGAAACTATAAATTCTTCTCTTGGCACTCATGAAATGACATGCTCTATATGTCTTCAAACTTTTCAAAAGAAAAAAAATAGCAAACTTTCACAGTTTACTATATAAAGTTTATAGAGTTTTCTTGAATTGGATTGTATCTAAGAGGATTAAGAAATTTGTCTTCAGCAAATCCATTTTCCTTTTGATATATCCTGCCTGTGATTTTAATTTTCCAACAGACAAACTTTCTATCTCTGTAGGGTATGCTTTATCAGGAGAGTTTAAACTATGAGGATTGATAAGCTGAAAGTCATCTTATGTGCTGCATAAAAGACTACAGTACACATAAACTTCACAGGCTCATTGAATTAGAAAGAACAGAAGGGGGGGGGGTCCTGAGGACTCATGCAGTTTAAAGATCAAGGTCCTGCAGTGAGAGTCTGACAGTGTATCTGAGATGTGTGGCTTTGCCTCCTTGATTCATAAGAAACAAGCACAGCTTTTTGTTTAGCATTGTACCTTCTTGGAAACAAAGCTTCCAGACTGGAAATGCAGGGTCATCCTGAGCAACACACAAACACAAGGTGTGTGAGCAACTCTACTCCATTTGGCAACAACATAAAGGCTTTATGACGTAACTCGTGGTTCAATTAGGCAAGCTGCAGTTGTCATTATATGCAATTTGTCAAGAAGAATCCGTATTAAATGGCACAAAAACGAAATTCAAACCTTCAAAAGTCACATAATACAAAACTTTCTGAAGGACATTTTGAGGGTGTCTCTAAAATGGGCATGGCTTTGTAAAAGTAAGACAAAAGGGATTTTAACTGTAGTATCTATGCACATATCTTTTACACAGACATTTTATCTGGACAAATCAATTTTTGATGAAAATCCAAGCTCATTCCAACACCAGCTATTGTAATTTAGGACAATGACAAAAGAAAAACATCTCTGAAGACACAGTGTTTAAGTAGGCTTTTCGTTGAGTCGGAACTCTCAAACTTTCATTGTTCATGTGGTAATTTCAAATTACCACCCTGGAAAGAGAGAGCAGAAGTAGTTAAGCTGTAGCTCAGAAAGTAGATTCCTATTTGTGATTCTGATTTGGTTTTTGCACACTGGTAATGGTTCATGCAATAGATTAGTATGCAAAAAGAAATATCTAAGACTGCTATTTCTGATGATAAATCCAAGTGTTTTTCATAATACAGACTTCTTTCTCATGATACAGAATTCTAATTTTGCTCTTCAATTTAAGAGTTCTAAGAGTGAGAGTGAAGCCAATTGTTGCTTGACTTTTATTTTCATCCAGGAACAATAATATCTGATGTCACCACATTGAAATTTCTTCTTGCTTGGTATCAGCGAGAAAGAATACATATTGCCAGTTTAGACCAGCTCAGTTTATCACTTGGTCCAAATTTTATATCCAAACTTCAAAACAATTTCTTCTTGAAAAAGAAAACATCCAAATACACCCCCCCCCCGCACACACACACATACACAGAAAAAAATTAAAATGAACCTGATGTTATTGTTGCACTTTTTAAAGCCAGGTTATTAGGGAAATGTATAAACATAACACATTTTCATCCATATTAACACCTGAAAATGAAGAACAAAACAATACAAACACCCCTAAATGTCCCTATATCAGGGGAGAAAAGCAAGTGGAGGTCCAGAATTCTTGTAAAAACTGCTGAACAACTCTTCCACTTCTCTCGAGGGTCACCAGGATAGGCAGTTTTTCAACATTTGTGCTTCATGGCAAGCTAAGGAGAGAGGAATGAGAAAAGGGAGAACTGATCAGCAAAGAGGATTCTCTTCTGGCCCCTCTACACCATCCAGAAAAAGCAGCACCAGATTCTGCTTTCTGCAGCAGATCATCATTATCCACAGGGACACCCTGTAAATGTGCAACAATTTTCCAAATAGCTCACCGGACACTGAGATCGTTCTTTCTTTTATTTTAATGTTGTTGTGCTGTGCAGTGAGGGACAGTGCTATATGTTCTTCCATCTTGCTGTAAGGACCAACTGGATAAATCAATACACAGGCATAATGAATGACTGCCCAAGGAATGCAGGAATTCCAGGGTTACTAGTTACCCCCTAGCAGATACACTTCTGAAATGTAAGTATTTATTGACATTAGGAAGATTAGGGACTCAACAGCTCATTGAAAGGCAAACTGAAGCCATCTACTCAATATCCAGCTTGGACAGTCAACATTGGCCAAAACTCTTGACAAGTAAATTGTGTTACAGACTGGTGCTGAACAATAGACCAAGTACAGACCTTGATTTGCTACTTCCCTCATTGGAATCTGAGAAATGCACACCATTATTAAAATGTTAGATCTTTATAAATGGGAACACCAAGTATGACTGTATCCTTCAGTACTTTCCTAAGCACCTTGGAGCCCATGATTATGTATTTGAGGAAATTATATGCAGGCACAAAACATAAATTATATGGAATATGATTTTTATATTCAGATCTTTTTTCTAAGAAGATCATAGTAGGTAGAATAGAGACTGAATTGCAGTTGTCTTTTGTTTTGTTTTTTTCTTGGTGGTATCAGGTATCGAACTCAGAACCTTGAACTTGCAGGGCAAGCACTTATTCCAATGAGCTATTTCCCTGGCCTGAATTATATGTGTTCAGAATCTGATATTGGAGATTAACCTTTCTGGTTGGGGCTGGGAATCAGTAGGATTAGAGTTCTGTACCTCATATTTTTTTAGAGAAAAGGAGATGATTATCTGTGGGCAACAATTTTCTAGAAACTTGTCTAGATTATCTGCTTTTTAAAAGTTAGTAAGGGGGATTCCACTGATTTTACCCAGTAGAAAGCTTCAGAATCTTGAAAGATATCAATATTCCATTTCTCTAACAAAATCTATGGCAGTCTACATGTCCACTTCCTCCTCTTAATATCTTCATCAGAGAAGTTCTACCACTGGAACTTGCACAAGAAGAGCAGTGTTAATGTCTCTGCATACTTGGCCCTAGTCCTCATCTTGTGAAGTTCATCTCTGGAGGAAACCTCAGCTGAGAATGCCTGGCACCCCTTTGAGTGGTGCCAATGAGAACCTCCACTGGCCTCCTACGGCGATGACATCAATGGTCGATCAACTGTCAGACACAGTTTGTGAAGTTCTAGGCATGTCCATGCTGCCTTGCTGAGTGCTGTAGATTTTTGCGAAGAAGTACAGAGTTGCCTAATAACTCCTGGCCTTTGAGAATTTATAGTCTAGGACACATGGTCAGTGAAATAGCAGAGCTGGGGCTCTCAGATATATCTTGTTCCTTAGTTATACTCAGTCCTTCTCACTGTATAGCTTCAGATCTTGCTCTGTCTCTATGTTTTATACATTATTTAGTAAGGAAGACCATCAAATCCACACAGAGCTGTTAAATGCTGTGCATAATGAATACCAATCATAAATATTTGATCAGTGCTGCTTCTTGGTATTCATTGAGCTGTTAACTTTTCACAAGGGGCTTACGTCACCCACTGATCTTCAGCAGTGACTGTGCTACTCCTCAAATCAGACACCAGTTCCCATGACATTGCATCTGAAGTAGATCTAAGGGGAGATCCCAGTGCTGTGACCAGTCATCTTGTGCAGAAATATGACTGAATTGGGTAGTTGACTACCTGGGGTATTGTTACAGGCTAAATATTTGTATTTCTCCAAGATTCACATTCTTAAACTGATCCCACAGAGTGTGGTATTAGAAGGTAGGAGTCTAAGGCAAATGATTAGAGCAGGAGGACAGAGTTCTTATGACTGGAATTAGTGTCCTTATAAAGAGAGCGGGGAGAAGCTCTTGGCCCTTTCTACCCTGAGAGAACACTCTAAGAGGACACTGTTTAGGAATCAAGAAATAGGCCTTAATCAGCCATAAAATGGTCTAAGAACACCTTAATCTTTGACATCCCACCCTCAAGAACCATGAAAAATAATTCTTTCGGGTGACATATTGCTATAATAACCCAAATGGACTAAAGTAGATTATATTTGCAGAATGTGACATCATCCTGGGTTTTAAGATTTCCCTTAGAAATTAGGAGCTTTAGGACATAGAAGACAGGCTGCCACAGCAGAAAGGCATTGGTGTAGGTAGGGTCAGGATATCTGCTGCTACAAATTTGCTGTAAGACCTTGAACTCCAACATTTGTTTTTATCTTCCTTGTGGGTTTATTAACATGTCTCTAACTGTGGATTTGGGTATCTGAATTCCAAAAGATGTTTAAGTTTTTTTATCTATTTTGATCTCAATATCTTAGGCAAAACAATGTCTGTCAATGCTCTATAATATATTTCACCTAAATAATAATAATGAAAATTTTTTACTGATACCAGAGAGATACTTCAGGAGGCCTGAAACCTCTCCCTCCTGGCCTACAGACTCACAGAGACAGTTGGCAGCAGTGCTGAGGAGAGTCAGACACTTGCCCGTCCCTCCCCCACTACTGTGAGTCTGTGCAAAGCAGGGCAGATCAATGTTCTTTTCTGTAAGAAATGTCATCTGAGGATGCCAAGGTGTGGGCAATGTCCTTGTCCGCTGACTCGCCGCCCATGGAGAGCTGTCAAAGTGCCACACACACTGCATTGCTCTGCTTTTGGGGGCAGTGAAAGTAAGTAGGGCTGCATCTATGGTAGAACCGTATTTTCCTAATGGCTGGGCTGGTGCCAACCCTACAGCTCAGGAAGGAAATGCACTTCCTCAAGCCAGGCTAATGGGAGCTGGAAGAGGGGTCCTGGGGAGGGAGAAATAGGATCATTTTTCCATCTGCTCATCAGTGGACAGACAAGCACTCATGTGTCTTGAGGGCCAAGCTGTGCAAAAATGATTCATTCAGAAATATTGCAGAGGTCCCGGGAAAAGTTGGAAGGCCAAACATCCTTTGGTACTATAATCTGCAAGGATGTGGCACACTTTCCATGTGGGCTTGGGTGTCCCTATTCATCCAGGAGCTCAGAGGAACTGTCACCTGGAAGTACTGTTGTCTGCTCAGGGCTTGACCATGTGCTCTTGCCTCCACATGTAAACACAGCCCACTCTTCATGAGTCAAAAACCCACGTACATCTGGGTCGGGGGAGGATGGGTTCTATCTCTGAGCTCACTGCTCCTCACCAGCAGGCCCTGCTGGTGCCTTGCCAGTGAGATGACATCTTCATGGTGAGCCCACACTAGTGGGGCCAGGTCAGCTGTCCTTGTCTCTGGGGACATCATTGCACCTTAGCTATAGAGGTGAATCTGCTCCTTAGGAATGCTGCCAATGCTGCCCATTCTCTGCCTCATGCTCCCTCACCCACAGCAGCATCTGTAGCAGGGAAAACTAAATCAAATGAGAATTACTCCCAGGTCTGGACTCTTTCATTGGTCAGAACCAGGGGCCCTTTTGTTCCTGGTGACATAATCAGTTTCCATGCTGACAGGTCCTAGTTCAAGGGCTGCTTTCTCCTCTCATGTGACCTACCTACCTCACTTTTCTTTTGAGTTTGGAAAGCATAAAGTTTTCACCTCCACTCCTTCTCTGGGATTGCATTGAGAATCCAAAGTCACCTGTAGTAATTCTCTTCCCTCTTTACAGAGTCCATTCTGTTACTGAATAGGGCAGGTTCAGCAGAAACTATTTTTGTGGAAATAACTATAAGTAATCATAATTCAGATTTACATATGTTGCCCATTGTGCTAATTACGTCAAAGCTGGATTTAAACACAGGATTTTAACTACTATATCATATTGCTCCTCAACCACCTAGCAAACTTGGCCACAGTATCAGGGAAATGGGATTGCTAGAGCCAAGAATTCAGGCCATCTGCTTAGGTTATCCACTCCGGTGTTTGTGCAGCCTCCTCTGAGAGAGACGCCTACATGAATGACATCCAGGTATTGTCTACTCCACCTTAGGAAGCATGACTTCACAGTCTTTCCCTGTAACCTGGTTCATGGTTTAATCATTAACTTAAACTCCTGTTTTAGCAGAATGTTATCAGTGTACTATTGGCTGTTCTGTGTGGGAAGGATGAAAGATAATTGCCTGTACTAGCACCGTTCCCAGACTTGAGGACAGTTATGAAGTTACTCCCTTTAGCCTCCTCCTCCACAACTCAGCATTTTAAAATGTTTTCCCAGATTTCCACTGCCTGTCTTTCTCTTAAATCATCTGAGTTGCTGCTGTTATAAATGAAGGTGGGCTGAGATTCTGCTATTTCCATCTCATCATTCCTCTGTAGACAAGGCTGGAGAAGGGAGGGAGGACTACAAAAACCTTTGATAAAAGTTCACTCTCTCTACAACAACCATAGCAATCTCAGAGCCAGGGGCTCCAACAAGGCTGCCAGCACTTTCAGATTGAAGTTCTTCCCTAAGGAATTCCAATGGGCCCTAGAGGCAGAATACAGAAGATGGAGAACCAATGACACACCCAGACACATCTGTACAAAACAGATGCAGAGAAGAAAGGCAGGAAGCATTTGCTGGGAGCCAGGTCCCTAGTGGGGCCTGAGTGAGAGCCCTGGGACATGCCCCTTGGCTCAGTCGGGCATGTCTTGTTGCTTGGCTGGTTTTGCATTCTTACTTTTTCAGCAGAAGTGGAGACTTCTGCTGAAGATATATATCTATATCTGTATCTGTATCTATATCTATGTCTATGTCTATATCTATATCTATATCTATATCTATATCTATATCTATATCTATATCTAATCTATCTTCATAAAGTCACCTGAAAGTCCATCTGAAGGTCTAGACCATCATACTGACAGGCTAACACAGGTCATCAGCAGAAGTTGCTCTTGGGAACTGCAATTTAAATCACTAGCCAGCAAAGAATTGACCTTTCATCTGACATACAAGGACAGCAATAAATTCACTTTATCACCTGACCAACAAGGCCTCTCTTTCTTTTGGTTTGTGACTGCCTTAGATAATGACTGCCAGTAAAAACTCTACCTTTCCTCTTGAAAGGCACAGCTGTTAGCAAGAGGGTGCAGGGTGTGGGCCCAGCCATGCAGAAAACACCATTCTCTAGACTGAGAGGCAGGAGGGATTCTGGCTGGCAGAGCCGTGCCAGTCTGTCTGCTCAGGCTCTATTGGTGTTGAGGCTCTGAAGTAAATAATAACCAGCCCCTCTCAAAGGGAAACCAGTCGGGAGGCCAGAGCTTGCTTTGTGCCTGGTGCAGAGATGAGAACACAGGATGTCAGATGCAGGGGGGCAGAGAGCGGGATGGAAACGTAAGCCAAGCAACCCACATCTTCCATGAGAGCTTCTAAACCTTGGCCAAGAGTGGGGATACCTTCTGAAATCTGAGCTCACTTTCCCTTATCTTGTTGTCTAAAATTTGATATTTGAATTTCTGGGCAGGAATTAAAGAGTCAAGAGTCAAGAGAAGATATTTTTCATAACTTGATACTTAAAAGTTGCTGGACACTTCAACTTCTAAAAACTCAGGGATGGAATTCAAGTACCTATAATATTTAGATGCCAATAGAATATCCATCTCTGACAGGACTGAACTGGAGAGGGGGGATACAGAGGAAGGACTATTTTGTATTTGTATATACAGAATAGTTAGGATAGACGTATGGCTGCTTTCACTTGGTTCAGTGAGAGGAAGGATTTGTAGTAGTAGTGTTTGGATGGGATGTCCTGGCTGCTTCTTGCACTGTGGATGACCGCTGAGAAGATAACAATGTGCAATGTATTAATTATTGAAAATGTCCTATTAATCACCTTGGAAAGAGTCTTACTGATATTTGTTTCTCAATAAAATAAAAAAAAATAAAAAAAGTAAAAACTTAGTGATGATACTCCCATGTTCTGCTTGGCCCACCTTGTGTGCAGTTTCTGCAAACTGCTGGGCACTGTTCTTCAAGTCTTCTGTCTTCTCCTCTGCTCGGCCTAACCGCTCCCCGCGCTCATTCAAGGCCTGGCTCGCCTTCTGTACAGCACTGGTCACACTATCGGCAGCTGAATGGAGGATGCTGTTTCCTGAAAGAAGGAGGGCAAGGGCATTAGGAGCTGGGTCAGCTGACTTACAGTGACCGGGTCCTACACTACGGAAAGGCTTCAGGTTCCAGCAAGAAAGTCAGTAGTTCTTGTGGTTCTAACCTGAGCAAATCCTGGATGGCTGTTGCATACACCTCCATCCTGACTCAAAAAAAGTGGAGTTCATTTAGTTTGAAGACCTGGCTTTCAAAGGTAAACGAGAATCATGTCAAGTTGATAGCATTAGCAAGTTCACTGAGAAATAGCTGGACTCATGTGCATTACATCTCGACTCTCATTTTAGGTGAATAATCATACGAAAACTGGGGCCATAGGACTTTCCCAGGTACAATGGTCCATGTTCCTTTCCATCTGTCCCTTCACTTTATGCTTTCACGTAGTAGGTATGCAGTGCTTCTAGGTGTGTGGCTGGTATAAGCCATGACTTAGGTTCAAGGTTCAATGCTATATTAACTCCCATCTTTGAATCCTGTGCTGTAGCTCAGACTGTGGGGTCTACTTGCCTCTGTTTTCTACTGTATTCGATTTTGCATATAAGTAGCAAATGGAAACCCATTACAGAAACTGGAATTGGAAGAAACTTGGCATGCCTAAGTTCAGGTGTGATGATCTGAGGAAACTGAAAAGTATCACATTTCCAAGGGTCATGCATTTCTGACATCCTGTTTCCTAAGTCTGGGTGGCAAAACTAAGTGGTGAAGAACTTGTATTTGCACAACCTACCGAGTACTTGCAGCTTGCAAAATGGGAACCAAAGGAAATTTATAGCCATATTTGTTAACACTAAGTGAAAGATATTTAATGACATTGTATGTAATAGCTTAATGACTTTGAATAATTTTATTAGATCATTTAACTTTGTACCTGGAATAGATACATCTAGCCACAGACAGTTTTTAATAGAAATGTAATTTCCATTGGTCTCAGATGCAGACACTTCCTAACTTCTTGTCTGTGGGAACAGTCTGTGGTTTGTAGAAAAGGATCTCAGACACAGAGTATCTGGTCCAGAGGAAGCATTTAAAGTATTATTTTCCATTTTTCTTCTTTAGGAGTAGATTTCAAGGGCTTCAACTATACACAAAAGGAAGGTGAGTAGGGTTGACTGATACCAGCTGCAGCAAATATCCAACTTCTGACATTGCCAATCCCATGGATGACCCACTACTATTTTGGACTACTGGACTATATTTGATTATTATGCCGAATTCATGCAGCTACAATGTTTAAATGGCAATGGAATATCCATCTCTGACAAGACTAAACTAAGGAGGGGGATACAAATGAAGGACCATTTTGTATCTGTACATGCAAAATAGTTAGGATAGATACACAGCTGCTTTCTCTTGGTTCAGTGGGGGAAAAGATTTGTACTAATGGTGTTTGGACAGGATGTCATGTCTGCATCCTGTATTATGAAAAACCACTATGAAGACAAAAATATGCAATGTATTAATTACTGAAACTGTCCTACTAATCAGTTTTGAAGCTGTCCCATTGCTATTTGTTTCTCAAAAAATAATTTAAAAATAATAATTCAGCACAAATGAGTAAAGTGCATAGGAATTTGAGCACCAGAGAAATCTGATGGAAAATGAGCATAAGAATGGAAGGTCTAGAACTTCAGAAAAGATTTGGAACTTTTGGCTCCTTTTGCTTTCACAACATACTTCTGATTTTAGACTAGTATCACTTCCTAACATTGGTATAGCATTTGTAATCATACAGAATTTTAATATTCTCTTGTTTTATTGTCCAGAATTTTTTTCTTTTTAAAAAAATAATTTTATTGAGAAACAAATAGCAGTGAGACAGACTCAAAACTGATCACTAGCACAGTTTCAATAACGAATATATTGCATATTGTTGTCTTAGTAATTATTCATTGTACAAGATGCAGACAGGATATCCTGTCCACAAACACTATTAGATCAAATCTCTCTATTCATTGAATTAAGAGAATGTGGCTGTACATCTATCATAGCTATTTTGAATTTATAAATGCAAAATGGTTCTTCATTTATATCCCCTTTTTTGGTTAATTTTGTCAAAGAAGGCCATTCCATTGTCAATTAAATAATATAGGTGTGTGAATTCAGCAAAATATTCCAATATAGTCCAGTAGTCTATAATAGTAGTGGGTTATCCTCATGTCTGACAATGTCAGAAGTTGTTGACCTCAGCCTTTTACAGCATATTAATATGGCTTTACTTTTTATACTTCATTTTTATACTTTGCTGCTGGATGGTTAAGACCAAGATAAAGTAAGACCTACATAACAAGAAATGTAACTTTTGTATCTGATAAGTTCAGTCAAATCCCCTCAGGATTTATCCTGAAACCCTGTATCACAGTTTGTAGATCCTTTTTCAGTGTCAACCATATGGATGAGTCATGGACATTGCTTCACCAATTTGCTCTCTGTGAAAGCATGAGAGAATGTTTTCTCTCCATGTGACTCTCCTTAGGCACACTCTACATCAATCATTTTCCTCTGTGGCCCCATAATCTCCTTGATCAGAAAATTTGTGACACAACTGAGTTGCATGATGTTACAGTACAAGTTCTCATATGTCCTGAATCTTAATTGACCTTGGAAGGCTAGTGATTGTCCAGAATTTCTAATGAGATGACTGAGACTGAGAGGTGAAGAGCTGGCATGAGATCATATTATCAAGGAAGCGACATGGCTAACACTTAAACCTGGTCTTCCAGTAACTTTTTCTGATTCTATACCTTTTTCTTTGAAGATATGGTGTTGGGTTGGGCAAGCAATCACTGTAGCTGCATTGTGGGCATTAGTATACTGACTGACTGGCACTGCCTTCAAAGTATTCCTTTCAGTAAAGTAGGAGTTATTTCCATGCTGCAGTGCAGATCAAGTGATCTGAAGAAGGATGAGGCCAATGGGCTAGAATGAGAAGTGGGATAACTTTGGAAGGTGCAGGGCAGAAGGTGAACTTTTGGCTTTTTTTAGATTTCCTCCACAGAACTACAATTGAGTCATGAGAAAAATGGGGAAAAGTGGGACAGGAAATCTGCAAATTAATGGCTAGAGATAAATGGATTTTAGAATTAGCCACCACTAAATTACCAGGGTATATAACTAAGACCTATCTTTCCCTATTGGAATTGACCCTTATACTCTCATAGCAGTTGTATATAAGTGTTTCTGCAACAAACCTGCTCTGTCAGTATATAAGCCATATTGCTTTTCTTCTCATAATTTTCTGAAAAGTAACCTTGTATATGATATCAGGTTGAAATCTGTCTTAATCACACTTCTCATTCCTGGGACAAAATACCATACAATAGCAACTGAAAGGAGAGGTTTATTTTGGATCCCATTTTAATCCACAGTTGATTGGCTCCAAGGGTGTATCACAGCAGTGGGGCCTGGCAGAAGAGAGCCACTCAGAGGGTGATGGGAGGCAGAAAGCAGAGAGAAAAAGAGATCAAGGGAGGAGCCAGGCAGATAAATTGTCTCCAGTGACCCAGCTCCTCTGAGCAGACTCCACCTTCTAACAGTAAGCCAACAGTGGGCACCCACAATCCAGTCTCCTTGCAAAAGCCCGACTTATGATTGCATGAAGCTTTCCAGGGAACAGCAAGCTACAAATGATAACAACATCACATCATATTTTATATGATACCATTTAACCTGTAGTTATTATAAAAAAGAAAACCAGCCAGGCATGGGTGCACACATCTGTAATCGCACTATGTTCTTGGGAGGCTAACCCAGGAGGATTTCAAGTTTGGGTAAGTTAGTAAGACCCTCATTCAAAATAAAATACTTGGAGGTATAGCTCAGTGGTATAGTCCTTGCCTAAGGGGACCTGGGTTCAATTCCTACTCTACCAGTAAGGGAGTTGGAAAAGAGAAAGAAAGAGAATAGGAATGAGAATGAATACTGTGGACCCCTGAAATTCACAGAAGTTACGTTTCTAGAGCACCCGAGAACTATGGAAAATGGTGAACTTCAGATATCATCAGAAAAATGACTATGAATGCCTATTTTATCCTAAATATGCTACATTTCTCACAGTTATATGATTTAATATAATGAAATACTGTATATAGTACTGTAACAAATTAACTTAATAAAAATGCTAAACAGCAGTTCAACTTTCTGGGTGTCTTAAAACTTTTCTTCTGGTACTTAGATTCACTGCCAGAAGGTTTGAAAGATGCAGGACATTTTATAGCACCTTGAGATCTTAAGAAAAACAAAACCCAGAACACTTGAGATCCAACCACCTGTTATAAGGAGAGAATGCTGGACCATCTGCCAGAGATGGGTTCAGGCCAACCAGCAGCAAGGAGAACTGAATAAGGATCTTGGATTGACTCCTTGTAAAGCCCCTACCAACAAAACATATGTGGAAGACACAGTATTTGCAGTTTCCAAGAAATTGTGAAGAGGTTTACACAAACAACTAATAGCTTATAAGAAAATAATCCCTGAATGATTGAGGCCCCAAACTCTGAACAGCAACTTTGTGATAGTATGCTCTATATAAAAGGAAACAACCTTCACTATTAAAAGATGCTGCTGCTGACCACTATTAATAGAAAATGTACATTCAGTTGTTTACATGTACAGAATGAATCTGAAAAAATTTGAAATAATCTTCTGCTGACCCTCCCTTAAACCTGTAACTTTTCTTCTCTTTTGATTTAAGTCTTCTGTTTATTTACTTACCTCTGAGGTCTCTTGTTAATAATGCCAGAGTTACTGACCCAGCACAGGGCTTTGGTGAACAATCTTTCTCTTCCTGAAGGTTGTGCTGCTGAACTCAGGATAGCTCTGACAGGCCAACTCCAGCAAATGACTCAGTCATTTCAAATTCAGTACATTTAAAACAGACCCTAGTACATTGCCTTTATCCAGTCATACCTCCACTCACAAATGACTCTTTGCCAAAAGTTTGGTTTGCAAACAGAAGCACTTGTCAAAATTTGGCTTCTATTTGTGAGC